TCCCCCCATCCCCCCACGGGGCCAGAGCGGGCGAAATCGTCACCTTCTGGGACTTTTTTGAGGCTTGGGAAGCTTCAGAAGAGTCCCTGAAGGTGGCGATTTCACCCCCTCTGGCCCCGCGGGGGGTGGGGGGTGGAGCCTCCCAAGTGTCCTGGAACACACCCTAGGACCCTTTGGAAGCTCCCCCCACGGGGCCAGAGGGGGCTAGGTGTGTACCATAAGACAGACCTCTCCATAAGGCTCACCAAATTTTTAGGAGAAGAAAACAGATTAATTTTTCCCTGTTTTCTTCTCCTAAAAATTTGGTGCGTCTCATGGAGAGGTGCGTCTTATGGAGCGAAAAATACGGTAACTATACAGCTTGCCAGCTCCCCTCAACAGTAGTTTTTAGAAAGACAGCAAAAGTTTCAGAAGGTTTTTAAGATACTCTATTTTAGGAACTGACTGATTAAGCTCTACCGAGGTGTTTAATTGAATATGGGAATAAGCTTATGTTAGTGGTGGGGACATCCCGGTAAGCTTCACCCCAATGTCTCCTTCCAAGCTGAATGCACCTTCAGCCTTCTTTGTCTCTAAACTGGCCTGATTGGAGCTTACATTGCATCCCCAACATGCCTGAACAGGTCTTGACTTGTCCCCTCTTAAAATGGAGCACCCAGAGCCAGATAGAGTACTCCAGAAGTATCTTGACTAACTCAGAATAAAGTGTAACTATTGCCTCTTATGGCCTGAAGATAGAACTTCTGTTAATGCAGCCCAGGATGCATTAACTTTCTTAGCAGCCACACTGTATTACCAACTTGTAGTCAGCTTGGAATCCACTAAGACACCTTGTCTTGTTTCAAATATACTTCCGACAAGCCAGGCTTGCTTGGGTCTGTCCTATTACTTGCACCTTTTATTTTTACCTAAAGGCAAAACTTGCTTTGGTTGCTGAATTTCCTCTTACTAGTATCAGTTCAGTCTATCCAGAACCTTTTGATCATTCTAGCTTTACTATCCATTTTGGTGCTGGTTGTGTCTCTTAGCTTTGTGTTATCTGAGTTATTTATAAACATTTGAAGAGCATAGGTCCTAGCACAGAGTCCTGCTCCCCTCCATTTGAGACTTTCCTCCAAGGAACTGAGCCATTAATTACGAGTCATTATGTACAGCTGGCTCAACCACTCAGGATCTATCTAATTACAGTATCATCCTGCGACATTCTACCATCTTGCCAATAAGGATATCACAGGAAATCTAGTCAGCTTACTTGCAACTGTGGTATACTATGTCCATTGAATTCCCATCATCAATCAAACTATTAACAAAACAAAACAAAAGAATGTTTTTCTGCAAGGACTTATTCTTGACAAAGACATGTTAAATCCAAGTAATCAATGCATTTGTTTCTAAAAGCCCACAAAACAACCGCTTAATAATCTCTAGAATTGTGGCTGGTACTGAAGGTTCTGAATATTCAAAATAGGGCACAAGCATATTCCACATTTAGATTTTTATATCTGCTTTCTTACGCATCTTCATCACGCCTGAACAGAATGCACCATACATTTTCTCAAGTCATGTTGTACAAATTCATACAGATCTATGTAAGTGGAATAAAAGGAACCACACTTGATGCTCAAAGGAAGAACTGAGATCTGAAAATCTGATGTCATGTAGCATGACAAAATTGAAATAATTTTGAGGGAATGGTATTTTTTAAAATCTTCCTTCTAATGCCATAGGCATGCTTGCCAAATATAACTGAGATGGGACATAACTGTAAATTTCTAAACTATTATTTTAAGACTTACTAGCTGATCAAAGCAAGATTACATCTTCCCTTTTCTATAAAGTATGTCTTTATAGAATCTTCTGTTTCATTTTTATTTTCTTCACTGTTCAGAGCATAAAGTTTACTCTGTTGATCAACTTTTGCTCTGCTCAGTACACCTAGCTAAATATTAATATAAACAAAACAAAAAAACAAAAAGTCATGCCATATTTTTGATTTCTCTGCCTCCTGAGCTGCCGACTCTCCATTGTCTTCATTTGTATTGTTTCTTTTTTATAGTCTCTTGCTTTTTCATTCATTCCCTTACTCTGTCACTAAACATGCCCATTCATTCATATACTGTGGAACTTAACAGGAGTTAATATATATTTCCTCTATCCCAAACCCAACACAGGTATCACAATATCTCTTCTTTATGTTTTAAAGTAAGAAGGTCAACAGAAGGGACACATCTACTATACTCCCATGCAGCTTGTTCATTTCCATAAGCAAAGCACTATTGTCACCAGCTAGACAGAGTATCTAAGTTCACGTTTTCAAAGACATGAAGTTCTTTCAAAAGCAATACCGTACTATATACAACTCTCAGATTTTTTTTAAATTTCAACTTGAGTACTCTTTCCTCTGTACATGAAAAAAAAATCTGTTCACCAGACCAGAGGGCAAATGATGGTCTCCATGATTTCTGTTCCTTAGCTTATTCCAAAAGCCACTAATAACAGAAGAGAAGGAGGCAAGACCACTTCAGACAAAGAGTAGCTGCTTTTTGATAGCCCTGCAATGCTGTTCATGCTGCTTGAAAGCATAAGAACAAGAGAGGGTGATCAGACCAGGCTCCGAATTAGCTTTCACAGAGCAAGTGAAAGAAAATAAATATTTAAAAGAATTAATTCAGAGGCTGAAAGTGGAAAAACAGCTCTCATGTAAATGAGTGGAGATTGGAATTGGGCCCAGGAGGTCAGTCCAAGAACGGCACACCTCTCTAGATGAAAGAGCAATTAAGACTTTGGACCTGTCAGACTTTAAGGTCACAGCTCCCTGCAGGTAATTCATCCTTTACTGTGGGGCATATGGAACTGAATGTGTCACGTGAAATCACTGATCCGGCCTGACGGGTACAGGAAAACCCTTTTTCTTCTTGGCAGTGCTTATAATAAAGTGAAAGTGGGACCAAATGAGGAAGTATTTCCAGAGATAAGTACATTAGAGAGTGACACAATGGCTGCATGCACCTTCTCTCTGTTTCTGCAGTCCCCCAATAAAGTGAGCAGTGTGGTAGCAGCACCTCACTGTCACAAATTTCCCTTGAAAATATGCCCCCCAGGAGCCTCACAGAAACACTGTTCAGCGTCAAGAATGGCATACTGGCACTGAACACAAGAAGGAACAGCAGAACATAAGCTGTTCAATGCAAGAACATCAAAGGGGTGGGTGTGATCCCACTGCTAGTCATTTAGGTAAACGTAAAGGTTCCCGTTGACATTTATTCCAGTCGTGTCCAACTCTAGGGTGCGGTGCTCATCCCCATCTCCAAGCAGCAGAGCCAGCAGACAGTTTTTGTGGTCATGTGGCCAGCGCGACTAGACACGGAACGCCATTACCTTCCCACCGAGGTGGTCCCTATTTATCTACTCGCATTTGCATGCTTTCGAACTGCTGGGTTGGCAGGAGCTGGGACAAGTGACGGGAGCTCACTCCATCGCGTGGATTCGATCTTACGACTGCTTGGTCTTCTGACCCTGAAGCACAGAGGCTTCTGCGGTTTAACCCGCAGCGCCACCATGTCCCGCTAGTCATTTACTGCAAAGTTAATGTGCATTTTCTCCTGAGACAAGATGGCAAGAATCCTCTTGGTTATTACAGTGGAAAAAGTGCAATGATGTAAACTGCAGCATAAAAATATCACTGGTTGACAAGTTGCCACATATATTTCTTGTTGAACACCAGTCACAGGAGCTGGTGTGTAAAAAAGGATACAAATGGAAGTTTGTAAACTACTGCAATTCACCATTGCAATTTATGCCACTGCTCTTATGCCAACGCAATTCTGCCTGAACTATTAGACAAGAGTCTAGTCTTGGACAAAGCAGACCCCAGTGGTTAGGAATGAAGGTCACTAACCACATTTTAGTGTGCAACAGAAGGAATCACGCTAAGATATCAAGAGACTGGGTGCCATCAGTTGGGCAAAATCGGCAAGGCAGAAACAACAGGAATGCCATTTGAAGAAGTCCAATCATCCACGTGTGCTCATTTGGGAAGATGCACAATGTTGGATAGAAACAAGAATTAACTAAATTCTATTTGTAAAGTTAGAGGCATCCAAGTGCAGGCAGGGTAGAGAGCAGGATAACAGAACTCCTCTGGGGCACCAGCAAAGCTGGCTCAGGCTTTGGCCAGTTCCTCTGGCTTTCATAAGCAAAATTCTTTGGAAATGCTCATAAACACAGCAGAGTTCCCCCTGGACAGCTTTGGCAGAGCAGCAGAAGCAGGAGGGGATGTTGATCCTATACTGTACAATTTCACATGGCTGAAGGAAAAGAGAAACAGAAAAATAGGAAAGTGGATAAACGTAAATGCAGAAAAAGAATCAGGATTCTTTCCAAGTGATTAATTCTTTTGCCCAGTACGACATGAACCTGTCTAGGTTTACGGCTATTTAATAAAGCCAGAAACAACTAGGGTGACCAGGATTGTCCTTTCAGCAGGAGAACAGATCTAGAGAAAAAGTCTTATTTTCCTCTCAGTGGTCCATACATCATAGGCCTTGTGTGCACTAATAGCAAACAGAAAACTTCTGATAACCTGTGCTGTAGTGGTACATTTGAAATGGCAGGTGTTGATCATGACCGTCTGCACTGCCACCAGACAGCAAACCTTTTCTCCCACCAAGAAAGCCAGTTGAAAAGTACAGGATTGCTGGATCAGCCCATGCCAACAAATAAGAAGCAAATGTTTTGTCAAGTTATTGACTCTTAACTCCCCATTCAAGACCAAACTACCCTCAAAATGCTTTGCACTGGAACTGGACAGTTTGTGACAACAAACTGTTCCTTGGAACTGCAGTGAAGCTCAGAGAAAGAGGTGGCAGATATTGTCATAGTCTCTGCTATATAAGAAGTCCCAGAACTTTGGCCCTGCCAGCCCTGGCTCCAATACACCACTCAGGCCATGTTAGCCGAAAACAGTCTTTCCAGAGGAAAGTTCTATATAATGGACTCACCGAGGTGTTCTGGCACTGGATGCTGGTGCTGTTAAAGCGCAAAGCCGTGACGCGGGTGGCACTACCAGGGATGTGGAAGATGCATTCATAATTGCGCTGTCCAGACTGGGGCTGTGGCAAGTTCTTGGCTGTTAAAGTGATCGGCTTCACCACACCCACAGGGATATAGATCTGTGTAGATGGAAGGATCTGGGGGCAGTCCTGTGAGAAGAGGAGAGAAAGAAAAGCAACCCTTGAATTATTAGAAGCAACAGAGAGAACACACCTGCACTTGCAGCCATCATTAGCTTCTTCAAATACAGCCTGTTGAGGCAGCCTAGGAATACAATCATGACCTAATGTAGGCTACAGCACACTTAATTCTCATGTACAAGTTGTGTGAGAGAAATCTGAGTGTTCAGAAAGCATGCTGATCACTAAATGAACCCTGCTAGCTGCTGATCTCCAGTGGGACATCCTGTGACCATAAGCTTCTCATTGCCATCAGTGCACCTTAGCTAATGGGAGTTTTCCAGCATGTTGCCATCAACTTCTAATGCTTCTAAAATGGCTCTCCCATATCTGCATCCTCACGCCCTTGCATTTTTTGACAGAGGGGTCTCATGTCTCAGTCAACTCATGGAGGAACCAAGGTCCTCTCTTGATTCCAAACCATGAGAGCTGTTGGCTTGTATAGAGTTGAAGTGAATGGAGCAGAAAGCATAGCAATCAAAGATGGAAGTAGCCCTAGGGACAGGCAGAGCCACAAAAAAGCACAGATATGTTTATACAGGAAAAGAGAGAGAGAGAGAGAGAGAGAGAGAAGAACCCACACGTACACACACACACTAACAGGCGGGCATTTGCCCACATACCCACCCACCTCATCACATTCTTTCTCTTCCCAGCTCAGCAGAGGAGCACAAAAAGAACATTATTTCTAGATTGACAAATGTTTCAACTTCCTGCTGCTTCCATTTGCAGCTAGTTTCAAAGTTGGGTGGGTGGGTGAGTTATTCAATCACATTCACTACATCGTTTTCCTTCTTCCTTGTCCCTCGCGCAAAGCATGATGGGAACACAGGTGGGGTTCCTGATTTTGCACTTCAATAAAGGCATGCAAGCAGGAGTGACCTGGCTGGGGATAGCATGAGCCTGAAGTGAGAACCTCCCCATTAGCCCTAATGCACCAGACTCCACACTTACAACGAGTAAACACCTAATTACTCCTGCCTCAGTAAGCCCTTTGTCAGGACATCATAATGCACAGACTCTGAACTTCCCTATCTGTAGGCAGTGAAGAATCCCTACCGTCCATGAAAGAAAATGTGCCCTGTGTACATGGACATAAGCAAACACTCTTAGATACTGAAGGCATTATTTACTATGACATGGCTTTCTTCTACTGCGTATTATTCAAGCATATCTGAGGAACAGCAAATGCAACACTGTCACTCTCATCCTTGACTCTCCAGTGGCAGTCACTGGACTAGACAGACCAATGATGTTTGTGCATCATATACTCCAAAGAGGTGTCTTCTCTGTAGGGCAGAGGGATACGCCAGAAATACAGAAATACACCTTAACATTGAAACATTCATGTGAATAAACAATGCAGGAGCTATGGCACCCCTCCTCCTCCTCTTCCTCCCCATGCATTTTTATTCAAAGTGCATTTGTTAAACAGGAGTAACAGTTGGTGTAAACACAGAACATACAGCAGATGTTGCACAGCTGGTAAGAGTCACATATGTGCATATGCCCAGATTTTCTTATTAGTACAGCTGAAGTTCTCAGCCAACTTGCTCACGGCACAGGGACAGGAACACAGAGACACCGTAGAAAAGCAATGCAGGCTGACAATTCTCTTGCAGGTGCTAACCCTGCAGACTGGGAAAAGGATCTTTTTGTATCAAACACGATCCCGCCCTTGTTATGAGTGACAGAATGTGTGGGTTCATGAAAGACCAGCACCTCAGGCCTGAAACGAAGATGGAGAAATCGCAAGGGAAGATGGGATGGTGAGCCTGATACAAATCTGCAAAGAGTTGCAAGAGTTAACGTTTCTCTATCAGCAAGAAACCGCAGACGTGGAAAGAGCATTCTAAATGTGGACTTGTTCAGAGACGAAAGAACTGGGAAGAAGGCTGGCTGGAATAAGGACTGAGGTAAATAAAGGAAGCAAACTGTACACGTGACAGAAGCATTCCAACAGACTGTAGGGCAACAGACTGTTTCTGCCCAGGACATCAGGGTCTGCCCCCTGCTTGCCTATGCCCACCCAGAAGCATGGCAACAGACAGTACCTGCCCTGGAAATCAGGGTCCCACAAGGAAGATGCTTATAAGAAGGATGACCCAGGAAGAGACTGTGGGCTTCGAACAGCGCTGCAATGTTGCTCCCATTGCTCTTCCTGAAGGACTGATAAACCATCAGGGAACAGTTTTGTGTGTGAGAGTTTGTGCGCATGCAAAGTATGAAAAAGACCTTTATCTTTTGTTGTCTCATGAATGAAAGCAATAAATGTTACATGAATACAGTGGGGTCTCTACTTAAGAACTTAATCTGTATTGGAAGGTGGTTCTCAAGTTGAAAAGTTCTTATGTTGAATCTGCATTTCCCATAGGAATGCATTGAAAACCATTTAATCCGTATCTGCTCTTTTCCGTCCATAGAAACTACTGTAGTGTTTAAACTAAAAAATATGGTATATGGTCTCCTTGTCAGTAGTCTGGCTGGGGTCTCTCTCCTCTCCTAGTCCCTCTCCCCAGGATATAAAGAACAGTAATCCCGTGGGCAATACCCTGGTGTTTCAAGGGGAAGGAGTAGGCAGGCAACTCTCAACAGAAAACGCAGTCAATATAGTGCTTAAGAGATAGCAAGAGCCTTCCTGCATCTTCTCTGCACTGACAAAACCACTGCAATAAACACGCCACAGGGAAGGCATGTTTCAGCTGATTTCACCACTAGCACATCTCATCTTTAAACAATGATATGAACTATGAACAAGCTCAACTGTTATCACTTCAGAGAAAAGTGAACAGGGCCAGGGCCTCTCTGATTCAAAATCTCTATGAGGCTGAGCTGCAGAGAACAAAATGGCACGTGAAACCTTGAAAGCCAAATGCTAGCTCTCTAGTTCTGGTTTTGTCAGCACACCTGACGTTATCACTTCAGAGAAAAGCGAACAGGGCCAGGGCCTCTCTGATTCAAAATCTCTATGAAGCTGAGCTGCAGAGAACAAAATGGCACGTGAAACCTTGAAAGCCAAATGCTAGCTCTCTGGTTCTGGTTTTGTCAGCAGAAATCCAGGTCTGTCCTAGGGTCAAGAGATCACCTTCAGAACTTGCATGAAACAACTATCAATCACACAGAATCTCTCAAAGCACCACCTGGCTCTCCTGAATGACGCTCACTGGAATTTCCCATGCACTTTTGTGGCAAAATCAGCACTCATCCCTGGCAGCCAGTCACTGCATCAGACCCACCCCTGGAGGCAAAGGGGCATGCATGATGGAAAGGCTGCAGCGGCATCTGACAGAATCTGGGCTTATTGCTGACCAAGTTGAGAACTCAGCTAGCACCTGAGCCACGGTATAACCTCTGCAGTCTCCTTCAGAGTGGCTGTTCAGCACTTGGGCAAAGCAGGCGTACAAACTCTCTGCACCATCCTTTGCAAACGCTCGAGTTGCTCTCAGGGGACCACTTGACATCCCAAAAGCCAGGCTGCAGAACACAAGAGAGTGCAGGGAGAACAAAAATAAACAGGACCAGGCAAGAAAACAGCCCTGCTTCCCTGAAGGGCACCACTTTGGCAACAATAACCTGATGCAATTCCCAGGTCAGCCAACCTGGGCCTGGGGGCAAAGACATGCTTGCTTTAAATAATAGGGAAGGGAAGAACAACATGTTTTGAAGAGTGAGATTATGTGGTTGCGAAGGTGCAGATGCCTTCAACTGATATTCTATTATCCCTTTTCAACAGACTATGTTTGATTCACAGTAATGGAGTCACCCTTTTCAACAGACTATGTTTGATTCACAATAATGAAGTCAACCCTCAACCCTGAGTGCTGGAAGGACAGATCCTGAAGCTGAGGCTCCAGTACTTTGGCCATCTCACGAGAAGAGAAGACTCCCTGGAAAAGATCCCAATGTTGGGAAAGTGTGATGGCAGGAGGAGAAGGGGACGACAAAGGATGAGATGGTTGGACAGTGTCTCCGAAGCTACCAACATGAATTTGACCCAACTCTGGGAGGCAGTGGAAGACAGGAGGGCCTGGCGTGCTCTGATCCATGGGGTCACGAAGAGTCAGACATGACTAAACGACTACGACAAATGGAGTTTGTGGTAAACGAGATGACGGGGTGGTAGCAAGAGATATATTTTTCCATTTTTAGGAACTGTTTTTAACCATATAAAGAATGTGTATCTCAAAGCATTTTATGGGCCCATTAATGCTTCAATAATACCTTGTTCCTTCATTGAGTTTATCTCAAAGCATTTTATGGGCCCATTAATTGTTCAATAATACCTTTTTCCTTCATTGAGTTGATAAATAGGAAAAGGTAAAGGTTCCCCTTGACAATTTTTGTCCAGTCGTGTTTGACTCTAGGGGGCAGTGCTCATCCCCGTTTCCAAGCCATAGAGCCAGTGTTTTGTCCGAAAACAATCTTCTGTAGTCACATGGCCCACGCGACTAGACACGGAACGCTGTTACCTTCCCACCGACGTGGTTCCTATTTATCTACTTGCATTTGCATGCTTTTGAACCGCTAGGTTGGCGGGAGCTGGGACAAGCGACGGGTGCTCACTCTGTTACTTGGATTGATCTTACAGCTGAAGATCTACAGACCTTACAGTACAGAGGCTTCTGCGGTTTAACCCGCAGCACTACGACATCCCTTAAGTTAATAAATAGAGGCCTTCAAATAAAGAAAACAACTTGGTTTGAACTTTGTTCTTCTCCCTCTGCCCTGTCCCTCTTTGGTTTCTAAAGTCATAGGGAGCCAAGTGTCCCCGTTATGTTTCAAGAAGCTCCATTCACTCAGGTATAGAAGAGTTCACCCATGATTAACTCTTTGCTCTCCTTGAGAATCAAACAACTCATTTTGGGATGATCTGGGCAAACCACATGCAGAGACAGTACAACCACATGCAGTGTGCCTGGCACAAAACACACAGCCACGACAGCTCAACCAATATAGTGCATGAGCCAATG